AGGAGAGGAGGGCTAAAATGACTGTGGATTAAACAAGATTGGAGTTTATTTTCCTCTCACGTAAGAGTCTTAAACATAAGCAGTCTGTGGTGGAAGTGGTGACTCCACATTATTGAACACCCACGTTCTTCCTTATAAGAAGAGAGAAATGTGTCCTTATGAGAAGAGAGAAATGTGGACACAGACACACGGGGGAGGCCATGTGAAGACAGAGGCAGAGTTGTTTCTTTTTTTTTTTTTTTTTAATTTTTAATGTTTATTTTTGAGAGGGAGAGAGAGAGACAGAGTGCGAGCGGGAGAGGGGCAGAGAGAGGGAGACATAGAATCCAAAGTAGGCTCCAGGCTCTGAGCTGTCAGCACAGAGCCCGAAACAGGGCTCAAATTCATGAACTGAGAGATCATGACCTGAGCTGGAGTCTGTTAACCAACTGAGCCACGATGTGCCAAAGATTGCCTGCAACCAGGAGAACATGTAAGAGGCAATCAAGGATTCCTCTCCTAGAGCTTTCAGGGAGAGCATAACCCTGCCAATACCTTGATTGCTTACTTCTGGACTCTAGAACTATGAGGAAAGTAATTTGTTATGCTAGCCCTAGAAAACAAATTGACCGCCTCTCTTTCTGGTTCCTCACAGCCTCGTTCTAATGAATCTTTAATGTACCATAAAGCCCTGACATCCAGCAGTGCTCGTGTCCTAAACTTCCGTCCCTCAAAATTTAGCTCATCACTGGGGCGCCTGGCTGATTCAGTCAGTTGAGCATCCAGCCCTTGATTTCGACTTAGGTCATGATCTCAGGGTCATGGGATCAAGCCCCTCATGGGGTTCCGTGCTGAGTATGAACCTGATCAAGATCCTCTCTCTCTCTCTCTCCCTCTGCCCCTCTCCCTCGTCCTCGCTCTCTAAAATTTTTTTTTTTTTTTAAATAGTTCACTATAAATGCTGTGTTGGAAATGGAAGGGTGAGCCAAACCGGGACCAAAATGTCAGACACAGGCCAGACCAGAGTCTAAATGTAAAAAAGGGGCCAGAGGGGGAGATGTGAAGTGACGTGGACATGAAACCAGGGGCATCAATCTGAGGCAGGGATGAACCTACAGAAGAAAGACCAGGCCCACTCTGGCCAAAGACAAGTCCAAGACATAGTCTGTCTGCAGAAGCAGGACCATCCACAGGTCAAAACCAGAAGGCCTAGGACTAGTCCTGGCTCCCTACTCCAATGACTTCACTTACACTGGAGGAGCCCTTTGGTTTCCGAACTATTTTATATGTTGCCTCTTGTATGGTCTTCAAAACCAGTCTGCATGAGCAGAGTGGAACAGCAATAGAATGTCCATTTGATTCACAGGCAAACAAAATATCAGAGATGCCAGGTAACCTGCTCAGTGTCACATAACTGATTAACAGTGTGTATGAAGGGGAGAAAAAAATGAAATTTGGAATCTGGTAGATCGGGTTAGAAGCTATCTGATTTTGGGGCGCCTGGGTGACTCGTTCGGTTAAGTATCCAACTCTTGATTTCAATTCAAGTCATGCTTTCATGGTTTGTGAGTTCGAGCCCCGTGCTGGGCTCTGTGCTGACAGTGCAAAGCCTGCTTTGGATTCTCTCCCTCTCTCTCTGTCCACCCCCCCCCCCCCACGCACACACTCAAAATAAATAACTTTTTTTTAAAAGAAGCTATTTGGTTTCTATGAGGCTCTACTCTTTGTTATCACTTCACCTAACATTTGTAGATCGCCTCTTACAGTGTTGGCGTATTGACTGATGCTCAATAAATGACATTTCCTTCCTCCTCTGTTTTTTGCTTCTCCAGCTCCAAGTTTGGTGCTCTTTACCAGTGTTGCTTTTCTCTGACTAAAGTAATCTTCGCTAATCACAGCTCACCTCTCTAGAAGTCAGTTTCTTCATCCACTTTACCAAAGGATTGGACTAAATCATTTGCAAGGTCTCTTCCAGCCCTGATCCTCCGTGCCCTTCTGAAAGCTGCATTCCTGCGGCAGGGCTCAGCCAACCAACAGAGCAAAGCCCACACCTGTTGTACCTGCCATCGCCATCAGGGGGCGCGCCACACCATTTATGCCTTGGGTGGAGAAAAGTCTGAAGCTGGCAATGCTCCACATCGGACAGCACAGCGCTTTAGGAGAGCTAGCCACCCCAGGCACCCTCATTCCCCTTCTAAAGGCAAGAGAGAAGAGAAAGTAAACCTTTTTCCATTTACTTTATAGATGAAGAAACCGAGGAAAGCGTTTTTGCTTTCCCTTGATATCATAATAGGATGAGTTATGAAGGATTAGAATGGCCTCCTGGAGTTTCTGCTAATTGAGTTGCACACTATACCTCAACTAATTGTCCTGTAGTGGCCACATCCAGGGCTTTCTTTGTATAAGGTCGGGGAGAGCATTAGCTGTGCTCCCCATTGCAGGTTCCCGCTTCTCTGGATAGACATGCAAACATAGATGCATGCAGCCAGCAAGCCCAGATGATTGGCTTTGAGGATCAAAATATACAGGATTCCATGGCCTTCACCTCTGCCCCAGAATGAAAGGATAGAGGCCGCTCCTGCTCTGTAAGAGTTGAGGAATGGAGCTGGTGGGGAATTATAGCCTCTTGACTGCCCATGACAAGGACAGCCTGAACTGACCACCGCTCCCCAGAAGAATCTACCACAGGGAGATTCCTGGGAGAGCCTGTTGCCACCTCCTCCTTGCCCTGATTCTGCCTGCTCCTTAGCGCTTCCACCTGAAACAGAAGGTAGGTCACCTCTGGAAAAGCCAGTCACCCCCCAGCCCCTCTCTGCCAAGCTCCGCCCCCTTTTCATTCTCCTCGGTCTGTAAGTCTTCACCTCCCTAGCTTCAGAAAGTGACGATCTGTGTTCCACAGTTCGAGTGCTCGGGCCCCGCTGGCAGAAGCAGCCTGCTCAGCCTCCAAGATGTAAATCTTGCCCAGCCTGACACCTGGCCACAAGTTGCTGGATAGATGACCAGAATGGCTGACTCTCTGTCTGTCAAATGCACTGGTGACAATTTGCAGATGGAGTCCACAGCCCAGTGCAAGTCTAAACACTCTAAAAGAGCCTGACAGCTGGCACATGGGTGCGTGTCGAGCAAGACTCACGCAGTATGAGCTCTTGGATAATGTTCAAGGACATTTCTACAAACCAGAGCCCCACACTCTGTCCCCGCCCCCCCCCCCCCCCCCCCCCCCCCCCCCCCCCCCCCCCCCCCCCCCCCCCCCCCCCCCCCCCCCCCGCCCCAATCATCCTTCTTCCCTGCCCAGGAATGACTGGACAACCTTGCTCAGTGATGTTGGAAAAATATCCAGAGATGGAGAGAGGAGGCCCTCTGACTTATCCCCAGGCCGAAGCAAGACTTCCTTCTCCACAAAGCGTTCAAAGGTTGAGTTCTTGCCAAGAAACCTCCCACACCTCAGACCTCCGCGATCTCACGCTGCTCTGGATTAAAAAGGAGAAAGTCATCTTTGGTATGCAAACATCCTAAGAAATAAAACCTGGGCTCTTGGAGAAAAGGGGGCAGCAAGGACCAGGTCAAATTCACAGGGAACACCCATATGTGGAAATCTACTGGGCTTATCCTGAGGGCTGATCAAAATTGTATAACTCCGGAGCCCCCGAACCTAGCTTGTGCATTGTACGCCGCTGCCGCACAGCACGTGAAACATTTGCTGATTTCCTGGCCCTCCTGTAAATCAGCTTGGGCAATGGTCTCTGCTTACGGAGTTTAAGTAAGAACTCACAAAATGATTGAGTGATCGCCCGAAGGCATTTTCTTTCCATAGGAAACTGCTGATAAGGTTCACAAGAACTGGAACAATGAAACAACCTTATCAACTGGCTCAAACTTGTGACTCCAGTTTTATTTCAAGAGGATAACGTTGATTTCTGCAGCCCAGGAAAGGTAGGGGTTATGGAAAGGAAGGGAAGCATCAGAATATATTTATAGCCAAAGACATTTGCGCAGCACAGACAATGCTCTGTGCCTCCAGACACACATACACGTACAACACTAGACAAAATTGGTTCCTGATAGCAATGGGATCTTAGGAATTCACTGCTGGCTTGTAGCGCGGAGCTGGCATACACCCATAGGCCCTGCTCCTGAGCACAGCGAACCCCATCCACCTCTGAGCACTACACTCAAGTCTTTAGGTAGCTTGGCTTTGCTACCCACTTGCAACTGGGTTCCGTGAATTTTGGAAAGGTGGAAAATTTGGAAAGGTGGAAAAAAGACAGGAGTGTCAAAGGCTTAAGCTCACTCCCTTTCACCCAATCAGACTTCATTTTTTGTTTCATGAGGATTAGGAAGAAAGGGGCAAGGACTAGTTCTAGGTTACTGCATCTGTGAAAACCCAGCTCTAAGAAAGGAATAAGTGGATTGTGGGGGTGGCAGGGGATGGAGAAAAGAAGGCAATGGATGAACTGCATTCATTCAGTAATATTTATTAATTTGATGTTAAAAGGAAAAGAAGGGATCTGTTCTAATAGCTCACCCTCCTATGAATCCCGGAGCCACCCAGCCACCCAAAATACCCCTGAAGTCCTTCTGGCACTGCTGTGAGGTAGATCAGAGCTGTCTTGTGTCTGAAGTGGGGGAGGCCGGTGCTTAGAGATCCGTGGTGATGGGGTCAGGGACAAAACCCCAAAGCTGCACCTTTGCTAGCTTCCTGCTCCCGGCCTCGGCCACGGAGCGTGGGGAGCACTGAGTGGTCCTAGGCAGCGCAAGGGCTAGAAGGAGGAGTGATGTCTCTGCCCTAAGCACACAGCACAGAAGTGAGCAAGGTGACAGGTGTCCCGTCAAGGCTAGTCCTGTGGCTCCAGGGGCCAGCTGATCACAGGCCGCTGGATACTCCAGCTGCTGAGGTAGTGGTGAAGTTCAGGGCTTAGAAAACGTCTCTCAGAAAGACAGAGGCAGGGAGGATAGTGAAAACACACTTGCTAAAGACTCTCCCTCCCCAGTGGGTCCCCCCCTCCCCACCCCAAGGCCAAGTCATCAGGTGGAGGTCAGAGATTTCCAGCTGGGAAACTCCACAGGGCTCATTCTAAACAGAGGCCACAGTTTCCAAAAGTTCTGGATCAACAGAGTTGCTTCTTGTCGTTCAGGACCTAAGGAATTCCCCAGGAAACCCTGAAAAAGGGAGATAACATATCTTGGGGTGAGGGACACAGGGTGGGAGCAGAAGCACTAGAGAGGGCAGGGGTAAAAGTCAGGGACCCTGGAAAGCATACGTATGTAATCACACGAGAAGGCATCCGGGCTCCACCCAGCCACCCACCCCCCACCTCCAGCCCCGTTCCTACCAGGGAGAAGAACTGGCGCTCACAGGTTCCCCGACTCCTGTTTACCCTTCATATCCAAAGTGGATTCTCACCTCCACAGCTGTCAACCCTTTCAAAGAAACCACAGCTGAGGCTAAGGGCTTGGGAGGGCCTCTATTCTTCCCTGCAAGTCAAAGCCAGCCCAAGGGGCCGCGAAAAGTACGGGAGGCCAAAAAACTCGCTAGAAAATCTAACCAGGCAGGCTCAGGGTGCAGCCGCACCTCCCGGCCGCACTTCCCGCACCGGGTCCTGGGGTGAAGAACAATCCTCTGCCCTTCCTTTCTTCAACCCTGGGCCAGGTGGGTGGGATGTGGGAGAAGAAAGTGTCCTGGTCTCATTTTGGTTCCCTATTCCACGTCTCCCCTTCTTTCGCTGCAGAGCCCTCCCCAATCCCAACCCCAACCTCCGAGAAATGATAAGAGACACCGAATGCTTCCGGATCCTGAGCCGCCAACCCCTTCGCCTCGGTTACCTACCCGTCGAGCGGCGGGCACGGCCTGGACTCCGCGGGCCTGGTCAGCGCCGCAGCGGCGCCCGAGGTTTCGCCAGGCCTGGAGGCTGCGGCGCGGCGCTCCTCCCGCCGGCAGCGGCACAGCAGGCGGCGGAAGGCGCTGCGAAAGTCGGGGCTGCGGCAGTAGATGAGCGGGTTAAAGGCAGAATTGGCATAGCCTAGCCAGTTAAGGGCCAGGAAAGCCGGGCTGGGAACCAGAGAGGGGCCCCCGAGGGCGCGCACCACATTGGCCACAAAGAAGGGCAACCAGCAGAGAGAGAAGGTACCCATGATGAGACCCAAGGTGCACAGGGCCCGGTGTTCCCGGAGAGGCAGAAGGCGCGCGGGCCGCCGGCCGTAGGAGGGCGCCCCTGCGGGTGAAGCGCACGGCCCCGCCGGGACCGGGGACAGGGAGCGAGACGCTGCCGGTGGAGACTCCACTGGCGGGAAGCGGCCCAGCTCTCCGCGCAGCAGGCGCAGTTGGCGCGTAGCCACGACGAAAACGCGCGCGTAGACGAAGAGCATCACAAGAAGCGGAAGGTAGAAGGAGACTGAGGAGGAGAGCAGCGCGTAGGGTATGTTGGAGGCGAAGGCGCAGCAGTGCGGGTTGGAGTGGCAGCGCTGCGCCTCGGCGTCGGCTCCCACGCGCCACCATTTGCTCATGATGGGCGCAAACGACACGGCCGCGGACACGACCCACACCAGTACCACTGCTGCCCGGGCGCGCCGTTTGGTGACCAGTGCGCCGTAGCGCAGCGGGTTCGTCACTGCCAGGTAGCGGTCCACGGCCAGGGCGCACAGGGTTTCAATGCTGGCCGTCACACACAGCACGTCCACTGAGGTCCACAGCTCGCAGCCAGTGGCGCCCAGGGGCCAGTGGCCGGCCAGCGCCAAGGTGGCCCCCGGCGGCACTACCAGGAGTCCCACCACCAGGTCCGCTGCGGCCAGCGAGGTCACGAACACGTTGGTCATGGTCTGGAGTCTCGGCGTCCGAGCGATGGCCACGATGACCAGCAGGTTGCCTCCCACGGTGGCCAGCACCGCCAGCGCCATCAGCGCCCCGGCCAATGCCACCGCCCACGGCACCCCCGGCAGCCCACTCGTGTTGGCCGTATTGGGCGTCAGGGTGGGGACATCCGGCCACAAAGCCAGAGAGCTGTTCCCGTGAGGCCACGGAGCCATTCCGCGGCGCGCGTGGGGCGGGAGGGAGAGAGAGAAGGGGTCTCCCAACTCAGCCGGCTCGGGGGCGGGGACAGCGGGGCGTGGGAGCGATTCCCCGGGCCTGGGCCATGTTCCCTAGTTGACGGGGCGAGAACGCTCATCCTCCCACCACCCCCCTGTTCCCCCCCCCCCACCCCCGCCCGGGTGCCACCGCTTGGGGTGGGGAGGAGTGGAGGCCCTTAAAGGGGCAGCGGCCAATAGTCTCTGATGCTGCGCGTCAGGAAGGCAACTGGAGGGTGGGGAGGGAAATGAGAGGGATCCCGGAGTTTTCCTTTAACCATACCTGGAGTGGCGACACCCGGACTTCTCTGCCACCATGTGCCCACTCCTGCCACGACCACTGCCCGCACTCAGTGCAACACTCCATGGGCACTGATTTCCTGGAACTCTGTACCAGTTTCCCCCTGGAGGTCTAGCAGCAACGCTTACAGAAAGGTAATGAAGATACTACCACCACCACCACCACCACCACCTTACCTTGTCAGAGGAAAAGGTAACCCTCCCAGGGCAAGCAAAATGATCCGCACTAGAACCGCATCTACTTGAGTGTCCTTCTCTAAAATATTGTTAAGTCAAAGAGGGCAGCCAGTATCTTCTCTCTTTTCCCAAGACCTCTCTCCGATGAGCTGTGGCCCCTTTCCCTTCCTCTGTTTCATTTACCTTCCCTGCCCCTCCAGTTCTCTGTTGTGTTGTCGCCGTTGCCTTCAGTTAGCGGAGAAATTTGATATGTTCCTGGAGTCTTGATCATCGCCTGCTCATTTGAATTTTGATTTGGCTTCACGTAGCCTAGGATGCTGAGAGTTTCAATTTCTCCATCTTCCGCACTGCACCATGCCCCTTCCACACACCTTTCCACCTAGAGAATTTCTAGATGGGTCCCTTCTTTTAAAATGTCTTTAAAGTTGGGGGCACCCAGGTGGCTCAGTCGACTAAGCATCGGACTTTGGCTCAGATCATGATCTCAAGGTTGGTGAGTTTGAGCCCTGCCTCGGGCTCTGTGCTGACAGCTCAGAGCTTGGAGCCTGCATCGGATTCTGTCTCCCTCTGCCCCTGCCCTGCACTCCCTCTCTCTCTCTCCAAACAAAGCAAAACAAAAATAAATAATTAATTAATTAAATTAAAAGTGTTAAAAAAATTTTAAAGACATGTTGAAAGTGAATGAATGGCTCAAGGTTAAGGCTTGTCCACCATCACTACACCTCACCCCCTACCATTCCCCAGTTATCCACAAATCTCCCATCTCCACCCTCCCAAGGGTAAAAAGTTCACTCTACTTCCTCGAAGGTTTTATTTATGAACTTTTAAAGGTTAGGAGGCATTCAGTTGAGGAAGTCACACGTTGCATCTTCTAGTGCGGGGAAGGATAGGCCTAGTTGGGTAAGGCCTCTTGAAGTTCCTCCCGCAGCCCCATTAGAGGCTCCCTGGCCTGACAAACCAAAGCGCTTTCCCAGCACCCAGACGCCAGGCTGTTTCTTCCAGCCAAGCTCTCCCAGCCTCTAAGCCGGTTCCTCTCCAGCAAGGTGTGAGGGTGAGGCTGCAAAATAAGCCCCTGAGTTCAAGTTGAGGGGCAGGAAGACATAATGCCTTTATTATTATTTTTTAAATGTTTATTTATTTATTTACTTTGGGAGAGGGAGAGAGAATCCCAAGCAGGCTCTGTGCTGCCAGGCGCCGGGACATCACACCTTTATTAAGTCCCGTCACAACCTGATCCTGGGGTTGTCTTGCTTCCACCCACGTAACAATGAGACAAAAGGGGGGAAAGTGATCATGGAAAATGCCTCCAGGGCCGTCCCCTCACGTGTCTCTTTTGAACAGCTCTATATTTCAAAAGAACGCTGTATGGTCTAAGCAATCCCTCTGGGAGGCTGAGCCAGGGGTTGGGAGTAAGAAAGACTGGAGGGGATGTGAGGACCTAAAATTATCCTTGAGGAGAAAGAACCAGTTTTGTCTCCCAGGGTCCCAGCAGCTCCCCCCACAAGTGGGATTTGTCAGTGGCCCCCGAGCAAATGCCTTCCCTGCCCATGCTGTACCCCAAGCAGACCTTTGGATCCACGGAAATGCCCAGTGGGTGGAGGTGGAAAGCCTATCCCCTGCCCTCTACCCCCAGGCCTGCCCGAGTGGGGCAGGCCCTACTTGGCCTTGAGTCTTGGCTGTGCCCTCTTGCTGATCTTCAGGGTGTTCGCTTCCAAGTTGGGTTTTGTAACCCCCCAGAGTGTTGCCAGCGATCTCAAAAGAGTGTCATAAGAATCTCAAAGAGTAATCTCTGAAACAAATCCGTGTCATTCAGCAATTTTTCCCCCCAGGCCATCAGAGTTGGGGGGCAGGGTGGGGGAAGTGGGCTCGGAAGTCAAGCAACTTCAAAGGATGTCATTGCTTCAGGGGGTGACTGCATTATTCTGACCAAGTGCGTAAAAATGTTTACGTTTTCCAAAAAGACAAGCTTTCCCAAGCCACACGGGTGTGCTTGAGTTCAGGGACTGATTAGGGCAATAACCAGAGGAGAGCGTGAGCAGAGGAATTCCAGCGCCCTGTTAGTGAAGGCTTTTATGTGCAAGCAGAGCAATGCCGAAGCACCTGGCTCGCTCTCCTGCTCCCACTCCTAGACTGGCCTCCCCCCTGCCCACGAGGCTGACAGCAAGAAGGGCTCCCTCCTTTGCCTGCCACATTATTCTCTTTTTCTTGCTTTTGTGTTTTTCAGTTTAATCTTTATTAAGTTTACTTATTTGTGAGAAGAGAGAGGGAGGGAGAGGGAGGGGCAGAGAGAGAGAGGGAGACAGTGGATCCAAAGCAGGCTCCATGATGACAGCAGAGAGCCCAACGGAGGCTCAAACTCAGGAACCGCGAGATCATGACCTGAGCCGAAGTCAGAGCTTAACTGACTGAGCCACCCAGGTGTCCCAGGTACGCATTCACATTACTCAATCATCAAAATATTCAGAATGCATGTAATAGAAAGTTCCCTTCATCCTGGTTTTCAGCTCCTTTACAAGTACCCACCATTAGCCTCTTGTTTATCCTCCCAGCGATATATGTAAATAAGCCAATACAAGTGCATGTGCTTTTGTCCTTTCTTTTCTACACAAATAGTAGTAGAATATGCCACTATTCAGCACCTTGCTTATTTTTTAACATTTTTTTAAAGTTTTATTTATCTATTTTGAGAGAGACAGAGATAGCGTGAGCAGGGGAGGGGCAGAGAGAGAGGGAGAGAGAGATATCTCAAGCAGGCTCCACACCATCAGCGCAGAGCCTGACATGGGGCTCGAACCCATGAAACCATGAGACCATGACTTGAGCTGAAACCGAGTCAGACGCTTAACTGACTGAGTCACCCAGGTGCCCTGCGCCTTGCTTATTTTAACTTAACAATATATGTCTGTAATCTTTCCATACTAATACATAATAGCTTCCCATTTTTAATATTCCATAATAAAACTATACCGTGATCTATGAAACTAATTGGCTACTAATGGACATCTAATTTACTTCCAATCTTTACTAATAGATGATAGTGCAGTGAATAACTTGAAACATGTCATTTCACATGTGTGTAAGTATATTTATAGAATAAATTCCTGCAGGGACACCTGGGTGGCTCAGTCAGTTAAGCGTCCAATTTCAGCTCAGGTCATTATCTCAAGGTTTGTGGGTTCGAACCCTGCGTTGGGCTCTGTGCTGACAGCTCAGAGCCAGGAGCCTGTTTCAGATTCTTTGTGTGTGTCTCTCTTTCTCTGCCCCTCCCCTGCTTGCAGTCTGTCTTTCTCTCTGTCTCTCAAAAATAAATAAACATTTAAAAATTTTTTTTCAAAGAATAAATTCCTGCAAATAGAATTGCTGTATCATAATTTACCAATTTACATTTGCAATTTTAAATTTACTGCCAAATTACCCTCCCCAGGCAAAGTACCCATGTATACGTTTGCCATCATTTGTTTTTCTTGCCATCATTTTTGCCGGCCAGCTGGAGGTTGGAGGCAAGTGACCTGCTGCTCCGGGAAGTCGTCCTAATGACTGGCCCCAGGAGAGCCAGTGCTGCCTGGTCTGTAAAGGTCATCCAACTCTGGGCAGGAGCATACATTGCCCGGAGAGAGCTTTACTCGGCCCTGGGCCCCCAAATGACCTTTGTTCTGTGCCCTTGGAAGCGGACAGTGAATGTGGGCCTCCTAATCTGCTGAATTCAGGCCCCTCAGGCTGCCGTTGATGTGTTGGGGACACCAAGGGTACAAACTATCCTGTTGTGTTACAGGGCAGTTGTGTGATGGTCTGTGATTTAGAATATGTGGTCAGTAGAACCGGAAGGGGCAGAGCCTGACTGGTGGGTAGAGATTCTATTAGTGGGAGGGGGAGACTGTCCCTCCCTTGCTTGAGTAGCTTGTGGTCGGTCTTATATGCATCACAACTCTGTGTGTGTGTGTGTGTGTGTGTGTGTGTGTGTGTGTGTGTGAGAGAGAGAGAGAGAGAGAGAGAGAGAGAGAGAAGCCTAGGGGAGTTTAAGCGACCGAGAGCCTTATATCTCATCCAAGACTACATGTGTTAGAGGTGGTATAAGCCATGATTTATAATCTCTCCATCTTGCTTTAAAGTTCTTGGAAGGAACCACGAACAAGGTAGAAGTTTCTCCCCTCTCTTTACCCTACGTCTCTTGTCCAATTAGTCCAGGGGGATAAGGTGGTGGTGACCTAGAATTGGAGCTAAAGGGGTCTTCAAGATCAAATCTAACAACAACATTTTACAGAACTAAAAGGCTAAGGACCAGAGGAGAAACTGAGTCTTGGCCGCGACCAAGGTTCATTCCTATCAGATAGATGCACAGGCATCCAAGGAGCTGGACCCTTTCCCAGAGCATTTCCCCTCACTCCCACCAAGGCCCCAGGATGGACCACTTGCCCTGCCTCCGGAACTGTAAAGAAGTCCCCAACCCAAGACTTCCCTTATGTCCTATAACGTGGCATGGCCAATTCTACACACATCTGACATTTACCAAGG